TCATAGAAAATAATTCGATTCATGTCTAAAATGTTTACGGGTATGATAATCTAAACCTTATCAGCCTCAAGTACATCTATCGGACATTTACGGAAAACCAATTAAATATTATCTTATAAAAAAACATATATATATATACAGGATGGGACTGTACCCGGTCGTGGATGAAGTAGCAAAAACACTGGAAACTGTAGACGGGTTTCGTTTGCAACAGTTATGCGAGATCAAACAACAAATAGAACAAGAACGTGATACATTACAGAAAAAATATCACAGGGCTGTCAATTCCGTGGACGGTGTCGATACCACCGTGATGGCAACCAGCATGGGATTAGGCGCGACTGGTGTCGGGTTATTATCCACTGTTGTGGCCGCACCCGTGGTGCTGGGCATCGAAATAACAGCTGGAGTGGCAGGGTTGGTGGGATTGGCCCTTAAGTTCGTATCTCACAGACTGAAACGTAAAGCATTGAAACACAACGAACTTAGAATTCTAGCCGAAGCTAAGTTAAACACGATAGACGATCATTTTTCCACCGCACTCACCGACTGTAAAATCTCAGAGGAAGAGTTTCGTTTGGTGCTCTCAGAACTCGCAAAATTCCACAGAATGAAACAAGACATTCGAACAAAGACTCGTAAAATGCTGTCATCAGCTGTCATCAGCGAAGAAGAGAAAAAAAAGTACATACAACAAGGAAAGCAACAGGCCCGGCAAATAAGCTTTCCTTACGAAAACCAAACAAATCATAGAAGGAGATTAACAATAAATTGTTTCGCGGATATCAACATAATGTAGCCAGCCAGCTCAGCGAGCTGTAGATGAATAGCCGAGCAGAGAGACAAACACACTGCAACTCGCCCACAGTGCTCGCTCAACCCAGACTAGGAAAGCATTTGTGAACTGTGACCTGTCAACTCTGACATCACGCTCGCTCAACATAGACTAGGAAAATCGAATACAAGACCAACGAGAGCTATGGTGGCTCAGTTCGCGTAGCTGCTGGGGTCAGCTTGCTTTCGTGCAGCCACGCAGCTGTGCGATTTGTGAGTTTGTATCCCGTCTAGCCTCTATGGTTTCCTTGCAACTCTCGAAACTTTATGTAAGGTTGTCTGGAAGGGGGCGGCGCTCTCGTCGAGAGTACACAGTTGGATGCAATGCCACGAGGGAGGAAGCTTGCGCATCGTATCTATCTATTTCTCTCTCCCTCGATGGGGTTGTGACAGCAGGAGACATTTTGCTAAAATATTTTTCAATCACCTCGCCACTATGAACAAGTACAACAATTTACATTGGATAGTTAGCCTTTCGAGAGACAGATCCCATGCTCACTAAAAAGTGAATATTTCCTAAACTTTTAGACCGATTTTCGTGAAATTTGCATGTACCTCCATAGTAGTATACACAATAGAGGCACGGGATTAGGTTCTTCCCAAAGCTTTTATTACCTAATTAAGGCTTTGGGAAGGACGTGATCCGGTTCCGCTATTGTGTATACTACTAAAGTCATCAAAGAAAAAAATGGTTTCCGTTTCATTTGGCAGCAAAACAACACATCCTTGATGCCTTTTCGTTTTGTGACATTTTTAAACGAATTATCTCGAAGTACAATATCGAATCATCACGTAATGCATGAACTCTTTCTTTGAACTTCACCAATGATAGTTGTGATGTGAGATGGTATTCGTGATAACAGTTAGTCAAGTTTTAAAAAGAAATAGAATCTGGGATATTATGAGTTCATGCACAGTGAACCTCATGAATCCGGACATTCAAATGATAGCTTTATGAAAGTCACTAAAGTAGAACATGGTAGCGCGATCTTAAGTTCGGTTTCATTGATGTTCTAAACAAGATATCTTTCAAGCTAGCATACCTACTTGTCTTGAGACATTAACAAGCGAATTACCTCGAATGACGAATGGCAAATATCGATTCAAATCGTACTCTTTCTTTGACCTTACAAACATGATAGTTATTCAGTAAAAATAGTAAATTAATATAATAACAAATCAGTCAGTCTTTTTTAAGATTAAATCTGCGATATTATGAATTTATATGTATACAGTGAACCTGATTAATTCGGACGGCACCGCTCCCAGTGACTTCGTCCGGATTGAAATATTTGGGATGACCGAACCATTGCTGAATAAAAATTTATTTGTACATATACATATACATACAATATATATTGTATATATTGATGTTCAAAACATGAATGTCCGTTATGCAGAGAGTCCGGACTAAAGAGGTTTCCCAGTATTGTGTCACACGGGGATGGGTTTAGCAGGTCAAGTTTTTTTTCGCTGATATATTCGTCCTGTGCTTGCTATCAGTGACCCAGCTAGAAGTACGTGCAACTAGTCACAACATGCAAAGGTAGTGGTTTCATATACAATGTAATCACTCGCTTTGAGCTGGGGTACCGGCGGCCACAAAGTTAGCACGTCAGAATAGTAACCATGATATGGATTTTTATATTGCGCTAAACTCCACACCAAAGATCATTGTTACCCCAGATAACCCAAGCTGCCTGTGAGGCACTAGAAGGTTATAGTCACATGAATTATCCCACTGGGTACCCATTTTTTTGCTGGCAGTTTGTGAACAAACTCAGTTAACTCACATTAGCCAATGATTTGAATCTTGACTGGCACTGTAGAAACTTTGAAGTTTTATGACTTACATTGAATGCTTTACTAAATGACATTTGACTGATTAACACAAGGAGACATTTAAAACATATAAAAAGATTGTTTGCTGGTTGGCGAAAAAGGAATTTCACCTTAATTTAAAAAATCACCGTCATTAAAACTATTTTAAATTTAGTACACATCTTTTCCGCATTTCCTAACCCACCCAAAACCTTTATTAATGATTTGAACAGCATAATCTTCAAATGTCTGTGGAGTGATAAAAGCGACAAAATTAAAAGAACAACCATAACTAGAAATTATCATGAAGGTGGCCTCAGAATGATAGACCTGGATTCTTTTATCAATGCTTTGAAACTATCATCATTAAAACGCTTTATAAAGAAGAATACAAGCTTTAATAACATCTTTCCATTGAGACATTTGCTAACTCTGGGCTCAAATGACGTTGATTGTTTATCTAATTCAGACAACACTTTTTGGAGAGGTGTACTTTTGGCCTGGGGGTATTTTATAGAAAACACAACCTAGACTGTGAAGATGTAAACCAAATCATGGTACAACCACTGTGGTTAAATCATCATGTTAAATCCTCATATATGATACAGAATTGGTTTGATCATGGTTTACACAGTATCAGAGATATTTGTGGTGAAAGTGGCTTTATCAGCTCCAACAGATGTACAGAATAAAATTTACTTTCCAGGATTATCAACGCTTTTTACACAATATTCCAGATACTTGGAAGCATCTTATTAGAAACAAAACTCATCATTTATGTCAGCTGAATATCAACAGTATTAATCTCGATATGATCTCAAATGATACAAGCTCAAGGATATTTTATGATAAATTGATTTTTAAGAATGATAATATTCCCAAAATATTAGAACATTGGAACTCTGTTTTTGACCATAATATCAACTGGAAAGATGCCTTTGTTTTGGTATATGAAATGTGCCAATGATTGCAAGCTATTAGACTTTCAGTATAGATTCATTAACAAAGTAATATACTTTGAGTTGAAAATGAAGTTAGTTAATGATGATCTGTGCTCTTTTTGTAAAATTGAATCTGAATAATATTTTACATGTCTTATATGAGTGTCAGACTTTTAACCTTCTGGCAAAAAGTAGAGAATTTCATTAATTCCACAATAATCTGAAATAACAACATACTCTGTAATGTTTTGCTTTAGGCTCAAACACTCACATAGTTAATCATATCTTACTCATATCCATTAAGTCTTAAACAGCTTACCCTATCATTTGACATATTTATCTCAACAATAAAGGACATTTGTAAATTTGAACAATTCCTAGCAAGAAAAAATAACAGAAATAGCTACTCTAAGAAAAAAATGGAACCAAAGGCCTGAATATCCTTTGAAGCGGTCATAAAATGACCAATCACTGTGTTCACTTGTACCACTACCATCAATGTAACATCACATTGTGCGTTCTACCATCAATGTAACATCACTTTGTGCGTTCTACCGTCAATATAACATCACTTTGTGCGTTTTACCGTCAATATAACATCACTTTGTGCGTTCTACCATCAATGTAACATCACATTGTGCGTTCTACCATCAATGTAACATCACATTGTGCGTTCTACCATCAATGTAACATCACTTTGTGCGTTTTACCGTCAATATAACATCACTTTTTGCATTCTACCATCAATATAACATCATTTTGTGCGTTCTGCCATCAATATAACATCACTTTGTGCGTTCTACCATCAATATAACATCACTTTGTGCGTTCTACCATCAATGTAACATCACTTTGTGCGTTCTACCGTCAACGGAACATCACAGGAAAAAGACATATTTAAACATTTTCAAAAGTTGTTCAAATATTCTCTACAAAAAACCATCATTAGTTGACGCACTAAAACTGTGTAGTCTCGGATTATATTAGAGAAACAACATATAAATAGTTATCATAATTACTTAATAGGTGTTGTGTGTTTAAATCATAATGCCACTTTGAACATCACACCGTGCTGTAACAGCTCAATTCAAGAGATCCAACAATGGCGAGGTTCAGGTTGACCTCACTCAGCTTTACTAATGTTGTGTCTGTATTCGGACTTCTACATTGCCAAACAGAGATAGTACTCGGTCATATGAATATCTATTTCTAACTGGCCCTAATGACTAGTAGGGTCCATGCAAAGTTGGCTCCGTTCTAACTGCTCCCTCTCCTACACCCCTCGCTCCACCTGCCCAATCTCCACCTTCACGCACGCACGCACACACTACTACCACCACAACCCATGGCGTTCACACACAGTTTTACATCCTGACGTGCCTTATGTTCATATACAAAACTCACTGTCCTTTTTGGCCTGGAAGGTCTCCCTTGTCCATCTGACATCTTCATACTCCTGTCCAGCCAAGGCAAACAACAGACGACACACTTCAGCCCGCCCTTTATTGTCCGTGTAGATCAGCTTGTAAGAAGGCATATTGCTTGCTCGCTGTGCAGTGGGCACTCCTACTCTGTGTAACTCGGGGTGTGCAGTAAGGCTTATAAGACTCGAGGCTAGTACAAGCAGCCGCACATACACATACACACGCATGCACATCGTGATATGAGCGAAATATTCTCAAGCAGGTAGTTAAACCCAACTTCACCTCACCTCTCCTTAAAAGACTCGAGCGTAAGACCCGGATGACTCAGTGTCCGTGAATCAGTTTGCAATAATGCAATACATGAGTAAGCATTTTGCTTGGGACTAAAGAACGGGTACCTCCCCGTCTCAGCTTGTTTGTGGGTTGGGTGACTGGGTAGACCAAAGGTTTTCTCTCGCTTTCTCCCAAAACTCTCTGTCTGTCTCCCTCCTCTCTCTCTCTCTCTCTCCCTCTCCTGCCCTCTCTCTCTGTCTCTATCTCCCTCGCTCTCTTCTTCCTCTCTGTGTCTCTCTCACTCTTCTCTCTGTTTCTCTCACATCCTATATCTCTGTCTCTCCCCCTCTCTCTGTCTGTCTCACCTCTCATTCCCTTTTTTCTCTGTCTCTCTCTCACTCTTCTCATTGTCTCTCTCTCCCTCTCTCCCTTCTCTCTCTATCTGTTTATCACTCCTTTCTCCCCCTCTTTCTCTGTATCTCTCCCTTCTCCATCTCTCTCTCCATCCTCGCTTTGTGTCCCTCTCCCTCATCTCTCTCTTGTCTCTCTCTCTCCGTCTCTCGCCTTCCTTTCTCTTCGTCTCTCTTTTCCTCCTCTCTGTGTATCTCTGTCTCTCTCCCTCCTCTCTCTGTCTCTCTTTCTCCCCCTGTCATTCTATCTCTGTCTCTCTCCTTTTGTCTCTCTTTCTCTATCCCTGTCTCTTCCTCCTCTCTGTCTCCTTCACTCTTCTCTCTCTGTCTCTCCCTCCTTTCTCTCTGTCTTTCTCACTCTCTCTCCCTCATCTCTCTGTCTCTCTCCCTAGTCTCTGTGTCTCTCTCATTCTTCTCTTTCTCCGTCTCTGTCGATTCTCACTCTCACTCTCTCTATCTCTCGCTCTCTCTCCTCTCCATCTCTCTCTCCCTCCTGTCTCTCCCTGTCTCTCACTCTCGCTCTCACTCCGCTCTCTCTGTGTCTCTCTCTCCTCTCATTCTCTTTCTATCTCTCTCCCTCCTCTCTCTCTCTTCGTCCTCTCTGTGTCTCTCTCACTCTTCGCCCTCTGTCTCTCCCTCCCTTCTCTCTGTGCCATTCTCACTCTCTTTCCCTTCTCTCTGTGTCTCTCTCCCTCCTCTCTCTCTGTGCCTCCCTCTCTTCCTTCTCTATCTCCGTCTCTCTCGATCCTCTCCGCCACTCACTCTCTCTCACTCTTCTCTCACTTTCTCCGTCTCTCACTCTTTCTCCTCTCCTCTCTGCCTCCCTATCTCTCACCCTCACTATCTCTGTCTCTCTGTCTTTCTCACTCTCACTTTCTCTGTCTCTCACTCTCTCTCATCTCCCCCTTTCTCTCCCTCCTCTCTGTCTCTCTCTGTCACTCTTCCCTCTCTGTGTGTCCTATCCTAAGCAGCAAAAGAAACGTTAGTTTGGAATTTTCCTTCGAAGAAATGGATAACTGTAAACTCATTTAATGTTTTGATCGTATATTTTTGACAACATCTCCAACTTCACCAACTTCACCATTCCTTCCCAAACTCAGAAAGTAACCCAAGGAAATGGTCTCAAAAACGCAACGTGATCTCGGAGATGATACGGTGTTCTCCATGTTTTTCATGAAACTCATGATGCACGTGCTGTTCACAAGGACCAGCCCTGTAAATTGCACCCCCAAACCTGGTTGAAACATTCACATTACAACGTCAGCAGGATGCCCCTTCTCAAGACAGCTCAGAGGGACCAGGCGCTAGGAAGACTTGAAGCTGGCCACACTGCACAAGCCGTTGCCAATCACTTCCAGGTCAATGTTCGGACCATCTACAGACTGCAGCAACGTTTCCGGGCCACCAACACCACAAATGATCGCCCCCGTACTGGCAGACCAAGGGTGACCACAAGACGACAAAACCGCCATGTTGTGCGATAGCATGTACATAATCCCTTCATGCAGGCATCCGAAACAGCACGCCAGACAGTTGGAACACACGGAAGACCAATCAGTACTGATACAGTACGCCGACGTCTTAGCAGCGGGAACCTCCATTGCCGTAGACCTTACCGTGGACCTATCCTCACCCCTCGTTATCTGCGTGAACGTCTACAGTTTGCCCTACAACACCAAAACTGGCGATACAGGAAATGGAGAACTGTTCTGTTTACAGATGAGAGAAACTTTGGTAACGTGAGGTGTAGTAACAGTATCAATACTTATCGTCATAAGGCCAAGAAGCCTGCGTTTATAACACAAGAAGCCATGGTAACGTGAGGTGTAGGAACAATATCAATACTTATGGTCTTGTCGGCCAGGAAGCCCGCAGTTATAACACAAGAAACCATTGTAACGTGAGGTGTAAATAGTAATATGGGTGGTAGCAGAACCCTTCATGAGACGTGAAAACCAAAGTAAAGTGTCATGAGTAGACAGTCAGCGTAGTTCAAATATTGCGCGTAATGACGAGGTGGTCATGTCACCTGAACTGTTTATAACGCTGAATGTAGCCGTTTTTCAAATAACTCGCGCTCGGCAGAGCGAGCGACCTACTTTCTCTCAAAGCAAGGCTTGAATAGAGGGTGTGTGTTGAAAGTACATCATACCACAAAAGTGACTGGTTCTGTTCTGAGAGATGGAATGTAGAAATGTATTACTTGCATATAGCTCAGTCGTCAGCCATTGCATCTATTTTATACATAACATAATGTATCCTGGACAAGTTTAAAACCACGAAAGTAGTAGTACAATGGGGGTTCTGCATTACATGCGGCTTAGAGGCTTATTTATAGGACTTAAGCCCCCAAGCCCCCCTTAAAAACGGTGAGGGTGTAGCACGAGGTATCCTCCGATGTGCCTACAGCCTAGACCGAGCTTAGCAACGGAGTTTGGATTGGATTTAAATGTAGCCGTAATATTCGGCAACGACTTTATGGAGTGGGTCTGCCATGAATTCCTCGAAGTGGATTAACTCATTAAGGCCGAGAGCCGCTTATATGGGGCAAATTAATCAGCTCCTCACAGCGAGTGACGTGTTTATGGGGCAGGTAATTGGCAGCTTCTCACAGCGAGAGCCATATATATCCGTCAACAGAAAGCACCTCTTATTCAGCGAGAGATGCACATGTGTGTTGTACTTGTTAAAATCGCACTGTACCTATTATTTCAACCAATTTAGTACTACTGAACAAATATTAGCTTTTCTTACGAGAGATGCTACCTTTAGTGTCAATCAGAAGAAGTATTTAAAGTTTGTTGATAGCAATTGCTAATCATTATCATAGGGTTATACAGCGTTTGGCTAATGAACACATGTCGGCGAGAAAGGGGATTATGATGTTTTTACAGAGGTAAGTGTCTGGTACTCTTCATTGGGATGGATACTAAAATACTTCGTATGCACATTGATTGAATTGGTTTAGAGGTCACTGAAGATTATATTTTTTTTCAACTTCCTAATAAATAGGAAACAATATACGAAATTTCAAGGACATACAAAGAATTCAAACACAGTAGAATAGTTTGAATTTACTTTTTAGGTATTATTAAGTTGTCGTGTTTCATATATTGAAACATAATGTATAAACACAAATAATTATACATCCAAGCTCGAATAGAGTAGACATAATTTAGCTTACTAACTTAAAGCTTACTGAATTGTAACTAGTTATTTTCCATAATCTAAAGTTGATAATGTTACCTAATCGAATATAAAGTGATAAGTCGCGCCTTTGCATCGAATATATATACATGTCAATATTATTACAACAATGAAATCTTTTATCTTTTGTTATAAAACACAGTAAGTTGGTAATTCAAAAAAATTTCACACATAGACAGAAGTAATATCATAAGTTATTACATGTAAACCATACAAAGGTATTTCAAGCATTTTTGTTCAAGCTGTTGAAAGTTTCATGTTGATTTGAATTGTCAGTTTTCTATGCAATTTACATAAGCATTGTGTAAAACATTTGTATTTGATCTCTGTAATTATCAAATCCGGTGTAATTATCACATGTGTCAATGAACTCAGTCTCTATTGATCCATCGTCAATAAAAGCTGGATAGTATATCAGTTACGGTATCGATACACATGCGTATAATCATTCAATCAGATTACAGTAATGAGATAACTGAACACCTCTTTCGGCCTTGAAATAACAGCCTCCGGTAGAATGCATATGTAGTTACGTCCTTGTTGAAAGGTTTGTCCCGTGACAAGTGTAAAATAAACAGATGCGCTGTTATATCATTGGACAACTTGCTTTATGGAGTCATGCCCCTCTCTGTAATGTTTATGCATGCATGCACATCTGAACTTCGTTTGCATTCAGCATAAATATAGGCACCTTCATAAATATTGGGGGGTTGGGGTGGGGTTGTCAACTGCAAGTTTATACACAATAATAATTCAGTATAGTGTCATTTCGTGAAATTCTGTAATACGTGTACTTTAGTTTGTACATTCGTATCAAGGTGAAGATTATATTTACATGTACAGCAAATCATTTTATGTACTAGTTGTGTGCGTAAAATGTGTATGAAAATATATACTATCTCTACTCAATGGTTGGATTTCACGCGCTTTGTTTTACTTATCGAAAACACTAAAATGAGGACAAATAAACTCGCCAAAGTGTCTATCTACTCCTATTTGTCTTATGTGTATATTTCAAACATCGTTACCAGTGTGTGTGTGTGTGTGTGTGTGTGTGTGTGTGTGTGTGTGTGTGTGTGTGTGTGTGTGTGTGTGTGTGTGTGTTTACAATACACAAACTGTTACATGATAGCTTGAGTTGATAAAGCCGAAACCAAGCATATCGACTGGTCAACGATATAACCAATAATCAATCTCTATCCAAGCTGTTGAGTGACCAAACGTGCTCTTCAGAAATTTCGCCCACGCCCCATCACCTGTCCTTTCCTCTGTGACAGATATCTCATGATACGA